GTCGGTTGTTTTGCGCGAATGTCATTCGTATCCGTATTTGATCCGAGTATAATGGATGTCTTTGAGCCGCGAAGGCGGGTATCTGCGGCGGGGGCGGGGGCGGGGCTGCCGATGGAAGCGCGTTGTGGGGCCTGCGTGCGCGAGGCGCGCCGACTCGCGGCCAGTTGCGCCTAAGTGTTTGATTGCCCCGGCGCGGCGCGCGGCCGGGCGGATGGGCGGACAGACGCGAGTGGTCGCCCACGGCACGGGTTTTGGTGGCAGGGGGAGGGGGCGGGGGCGGAGGACCAGGGTGCGGATGGGTGCGCTCGAATGCGCAACAACCGGGTGACGCGGTAAGGCGAGGAGAGGCGAAGGTGCGAAAGCGCCGAGGCTAGGTGATTCATTGCGCTGTATTATCTGCTTTAGGGCTGAGGGTTCTTTTCAGAATAGTAGTTTTGTTCGCGGAAAGCTAGAATGTACCAACCAAAAACTTTGGAGTATATTTCCTTTATATTTGTATTTATATTCTATAATTTCTACATTTTACGAGTTCAAACCTTCAAGTTACCTTTTTTTAATAACATATTATTATTATTATTATTATTATTATTATTAATAATAATAATAATATTAAATTAATGAAGTATTAAATACTAATAATGATAATACTAATAATTTTTCAATATTAGATCGTTTAGAGTCGTCTGAAGTACAAAGAAATAGCATCCGCTCACATGTGACTCACATATAAATTACACTTGGGCATTTTTTACTCCGTCGTATCTTTTTCCTTAAACAGGTTTTTACTGCAACTTAAATTCTGAATTAAAGTAATCGGCTGATTTAAAATACTAAGTGGAATCTTATATTTCCTCATTACGATGAAATATCTTCGACATATGGCAGAAAATTGTGAATAAAGTGTGATAATTTGTATGAACGAAAGTAAAAATATCGAAAAACATTTCCTGATTCAACTATATTTCATTACAGACAATAAAAAGTAATACTTAATGTTATATAATTTATAAACCTGTTACAAAAATATCGCATTACTTTGAAAACCGTAAAACAATCTGCTATTGTTTGTTCTTGAAGGAGTAAGTTTAAAATTCAATGTTCTCGGGTAAAGGACCCGCGATCTCTATCCTTGTTCGTGTTTGGTTATCCCAATGATCGCAAAGCGAATGCCGGGATGGTTTCTTCTTTCTCTTGGATTTTCAAATAGGAATTTTCACTTCTTCTGCCAAATTATTTTGCATTAAATATATTAATGTATCCTACATATCACCTAGAATGACGGTTGTAAAAACGGAGTAGGAGTTAGTGTTCATTGTAATCCTAGACTAATCTCTCAATATAACTCCTAACTCCTTACACTTGCTAACTTGAGGAGCTGCTGCTGGTTTCATTCACACGTGCAGTGGTGTGGCGTGAAGCAGTCTTGGCTTCTGATCTCGTCGGCGACTGTTGACTGATGGTGTAGTGTCCATTCCACGTGATGTTTACTTATAAATCTTTTTTATTATTTATGCTGAGTAATAAATTTAATTTTTTTTCGATTTAGAGTTATTAACGTGTATTCAATTAAAATAGCTCAGGACTTTCGTTACTACAGATAATCAGCAAAAGTTATACTTTCCGAGCTGAAGCACTATGAGCTCCCTCTTGGGTTCACCTTTGCGTTTATAAATTAATTTTTTACTTTTTACACACTTTGAGATCAAATTGCAGATGTAGCTGCAAATCAGTTTTTTTTTTATCAGCGGAAGCGTAAGTTTGGTTCATAGTTTTTCCATCTATTATTTTCCTAAACGTGAACCTTCCCTATACGGGTTCCTGTGAACGTTTTAATTTATGCATATGTATATTTTGTATGATACCATTGATAATATATGTTTACTCATTTTTCCCCTCTTGTCATATTATTAAATTTTCATTTTCGGTGAAATGTACTGGGGGTACTCTAGACCATTGAATTAGGTTTTACAAGACAATAAACAGCTATAATTTACTGATGAGTCACGGGCCTATACTACAATATCATCAGAACTGTTTAATTATTTGATTGTTTTCGTTAAGATGAAGGGTACCAGACTATTTGTATTTTATTGAAATTAATTAATTGGCTATTTAATCCGAGAAGGCCTATGTTGTGAGAAATGAAATGTTGGTTAGCATGATGTAATTCCTTTACAAAGACTTACTGCACATAACAATTTTGAAGAGGCTGCGATGCAACATATTGGGCGGATGACGCGCCTCTCCCACCCATCCACTACTTCCTTCGCCTCCTTCGTATCTACATGCATTCTTCATCCACTTGCGATACGGCCCATGCGCGCGGCTTTGTCTGCGGGCTGCGCGGCAAGTCGGCCGCTTCGGAGAGCAAGGGAAGGCGGGGACGGGGGCCTGACCGGGGGGCGTCGCCACCGCTCGGCGTCGCTGTAGTGCCACGCGCTACGGGGGCGACGGACCCGCGTTTGTTCGTCTGGCGCGCCGCCGCGCCGCCGCCGCCGGCGCCCGCGAGTGTAGCGGCTTATCGAAAGAGGCCAAAGTCGCGGCGGGCTCGTTATCGTCTGCCGAGACGGGCCAAGTCAAAAAAAGGAGTTCGCGCCCGGCCGGCCGCCGCGCCGCCGCCGCCCCCGCCGCCCCGCCGCCGCCGCCCCGCCGCGCCGCCGCCGCCGCCGTCGCCGCCGCCGCCGCCGCCGTCGGCGTCTACCCGGAATGCAGGCGCCCTGCGCGCGCGGGGAGAGCCTCGCGCAGTCGCCCGTGACCAGCAGCCACGAGGGCCCCGCGAGCAGGCCGCCGCTGCCGCCACCTCACCGCACCGCGCCGTGGAGAGGCGACAAAATTCTGAGGGCCGCGAGCGCGCACGTGGCGACAAAGGAACGACCCACCTTTTGTTGATGTTTGCTTTTCACACACTAGCAGTATATCGAACCTTCTGTTAACCGTAGGTAAAAAAAGGAAAGAAGTGAAAACGATGCTTTGCAGGTCGGTTTTTGCCCTCTTGGCCAACTTGGTGGATGGTAAATTGATGATAGCTATTGAAATCATCCAGCTAGTTTGCATTTTTAACATCCTTCCTCGATCTATTTGTCTTGTTTACATTGCGGTGCAGAGTCGCAATTCGGAGCCAGGAAGTGTGTGAGTAGTTTTCTTGGCCTGGATGAGAAATCAATTTAATTGCGTTTCATATATTTTTGTTTCTTTGACAAAATATACAATCACCTTTTTCTTTGTCATTTTCCAATTTATTTCTCAGATAACCTCCTTTTCGATAACCTTGTGCCTCGGATTTGTATTCATTATCGAATTTCGACATTACTATCATGACTAACGTATCTAAAAAGCTCAAAGATCATTTCATGGAAGTGAGCTTAAAGTAAATGCGGAACGCGGTTTTCAGGAGCCCTTATAGTTAAGACGTACGAAAGACTTGATTTTTTTCGTATTAATCAATAATTAATTCGTCTTTCAATAACTATGTTTTATTTTCATTACTAAGGAAGTGATAGTGTTTGCAATACTGGAATCACGTAACAGTAACACTGATAAATATGTTGGAGCAGTCTGAGGTGACGCCCGGCGTAATTAGAGCGGTCACTGTGAACATTTGTGAGCGACTGCTCTCTCGCATCGTTGCAGCGGGAGAGACGCGCGCGCCGCCGCCAACCCCGCCCATGTGGTTTTGTGCCATTCACAACTCAGCGGCAAAGCGTTTCGCGCGCACACATCTTTCAGTGCCAGCAGAGGCACACGCAGCGCCGTCGCGAAGCCCCGCCACGCGCTGAGGAGCGGCGTGTCTTCCTTCGCCCTTGTGGCGCCGTTGGCGTGGGCAGCTGCGCGACGCGACGCGACGCGACGCGACCCGACTCGGCGCGCGGCGGGGGCGAAGGCGTGGGCGAAGGCGAAGGCGGGGGCGACGGCGGGGGCGACGGCGCCCAGGCGGGCGGGCGGGCGGACGAGCGCAGCGCGAGACCGGGCCCTCTGAAAATAGGCCCCGGCCGCGCGCGTGTTATTTCTGAAAGGCCGCGATGTTGTGTTTCAAACGCCCGCCGCTGGGTCTGCGGACCGGTGGCCGGAGGGTGGTGGGCGCGGGCGCGGCCGGCCGAGGCGCCGAGACGCCCCCGCCCCCGCCTCAATGCTCCCATGGGCGAGGCGACGCCGTGCGAGATAACACCACAATGAGAGCCCTTTCGTCGGGGCTGCGGATGGGGAAGACAGGGTGATGCCTTCCGCGCCGACGCTGCACCCGGAACTCTTGAGACCTTAGGGGTGGGCCTGGTTTCTTCCACACCTCAACTCCGGGAAACTGTTGAGTAGCTTTTGTATTAATATCCATCATTCGTATTAATATGTTTTCGGCAATAATGTGATTTCATACCTGGTTGTGTAAATTTTGTCACTGAAACGTTTTCAACCAGCTACCACGTGATGTGTACAGGAAGTCAACGAATTTCATTTATACTGGTGGACATTTGTTTGTTTCCAAAACATTAGAGCGCCTACTTTGTGTGAATGAAAGCGACACTAAAAACGTATCGAATGTTATTACCAATGTATGCTTACCCAAAGAAGCCCCATTGACTTGGACCAAGAGTTGTGGCAAGTAATTCTTTAGGAAATATTATGTATTCAAAATACGAAAAAAATTGAGTGTATTTTTAACTTCTAATCCACAATTAATATGTGCAATTTTTGCCTCCGGAATTAAGGGCACTTACACTCAACTGTTACAACTCCATTGTTTTAATTTAATACATGAGATTATATAATATATAATTGTCAATAAATAATGTATTGACCCGTATCCAATTACAAAATCTCTTTCGTTTTCCATTGAATTTTTGCCATGATTTCTCAATAATTTATTCCTCTATTTTATACTCATCAACGTCTCTAGTGATGCAGTTTCTTTCATGCCTTATTGAAGCTGGTGCTTTTTTAAACGAGCACACTATTCGTTTTACTACCTTTTGCATATCTCTTAACGTAGAACCCAATACACTAATAAAATGGGTAGAGTAATTCGTGTGACTATACTCTTCTGTGTCCGGTGTATATTATGTGTTCTTTATCCTGCGTCGCAGGCGCAGCGTCGACCTACTGCTAGCGATCTACTCAAGGCCTACGATGCCCTCAGCGTAACGCAGAAGCCGCCATTCGGGTGCACTCATACCAAGTCAAGGGCGCGGGACGAAGGCATGTCGGAAGAAGTGATGATTGCTTAGATTTCCGAGTATATCCAATGCGTAAAAGCAATAGCCTACTCTATAGTATACGTTTACTTGCAATTCAAAGTGAAATTCTCATTCAGTAAAGTGTATGACTCATCAAAGATAGTCAATGTAACTATTTGTTTATGGTACATCCCACCCGAAGACTTTATCTAATGACTAATGTATTCCTCAAATGAATTGAACGCTATACATCAGCAATATAGTATGTAAAGAGATTCGATATGTTGATTTTCTTCAGAAACAGTGCTTGCAGCTTACTTGAGTCCTGGTTTTGACATATGATGTTTTCGAAATTTGCTTAAAGTCTTGAAGCATTTCTCATTTAATTACTGAAAACTTACTTTTTTTTATTTACAATTCGTTTAATATAGGGTTATTTTATTTTTTTATTTTTTTAAGAAGAAAGCTTTTAAACTTGGAACTTGAAAAATCATTAAGAATATGAACGTATCCGGAATGATTCATTTGCAACCTTCTAATGCAGACTCTTAAAAGAGAAAAATATAGCTTCAGTTCTTACGCAAAATAATTCAATAGATTGCTCAACAGAAATGTGGGGTTTATAGAAATGTTCGTCGTCCCTCAACCTGAGGCAAAAGGGGCTCCCCAAGGCGCGCCTCCATCTTGATTTTCCGTGCGGCGGATGAGCCGGCGGCGCCCATAAACACGGCGGGCGTCGGCGGCGTCGGCGGCGTCGGCGGTGTGGGCGGCGCGCGCGCGCTTGCGCTGCTGCGCGACGTCGCGCGACGCTCCCGAAGGGAACCGATGTTAAAACGCATCTTGGCACTTCTTCAGCTTTTTTGTGCGGGCCCAAAAAAGACTGTCGAATGAGTCACGATGAAAGTAAAATATAAAACACTTTGTTGGCAAAAAGCGCCGTTTCGTTAGCTGGTTGCAGCGCCGCGACGCCTCGCGCGTGGGTTGACGCAGGGCCGCTTTTCAAGGCGAGATGAGTTGGAAGCGAGGGGCGGTTGCGGCGGGGGTGCGGGTGATCGGCGAGAAGTAGAGGCGTGCGTCCTCAGAGATGTTTCCCGGCCCCGTCCTCAACCTAGCTTCAAGCAGTCTGCCCCATTTCAACTCCTATTCGCATCGCCGCCCGCCCCCCCCTTCCTTCACCGTAACCTCGCCGCCGCCACACGGTTCTTCTGCAGTTACTGTCGTCGGTCCACTTCTCGTCAGATCATGCCGCTGTTTGTTTTTCTGCTCTCTTCATGCTAGTTGGCAGATTGCTAACTGACGGGTCGTGCTTTTATAGAAATCAAAGGACATACGGTTTGTTTTTGGAGATACTCTGATTTGAGTTGACGTTGAGTAGCACGGTTTTCTTGTGTGTCACCAAACTGTCACAGTTGACATTTTATGTAGGTACAGAAGTTGCATTTGTATGTGTTAGGTGCTGCTGTACAGAGTAAATAAGGAGATCTTTTCAGATCAGCCTCTGTGACGTTTTTAATTATAAATTATTTGTAATTCTTATTTATGTAATTCATCTGTATATTATTTTCTTTTTTTGAAGCCATTAAATGTGCAATGCTTGACAAAGTTTGAACATAATGTTGGACAATTTTTAAGGTAATTTTGTGTTTTTGAATGGATGAATCAGGAGCCTGGAACAGACGTATGGCTTCCAACTTACCTACAATTTCGAGCTTGTTTAGATTTTTGTTATCGTTTCGATATGAAAGTTCGGCCATTTCGGAAGGCCTTTTCCTGTCCCTTGCTGTTAGTGTGGAAGGACTAGAAGTAGGGTACCTCCGCCTTCAAGCCCCGTCTTCACAGTGCCCGCCTGCCCTCCCCGCCTGCGCCTCTCGGCCGTGGCCCGGGTGCTGGTGCGAGCCGACGCGCCGCCCCTGCCGCCGTCGCCGCCGCCCCGCCCCGCCCCAGTGTACTGTCGCTGCGCTGAAGGTGTGCTAAAGCTGTGCTGGTGTCTTTGGCAGGTCCGTGGTAGGAAGCGGGGTGGCGGCAAGGCCCGGGACGGGGCGCTCAGCTGGACAGGCATAGACCACGGCAACCCAGAGGTAGGCACGCACACGGCTGTCTGTGGTCTTTATGTTGCTCCTTAGTTCCCCTAGATTGGTTGGCCCTTTTTGTGTTTTCGTCACTCTCCCTGCCTTAGTGCGATGATGTTAGAACATGCATTTTTGTAATTCCAAGACCTGGCATGAAGCGGCGTCGTTTAGTTTTATTCTTGATATACGATATACATTCTAAAATAGCACGAGCGAGGAGCGTGTATGAGCAGTGTAATCGACGGGCTGTTTGTGTGCTTTGGAGATGGGAGGGTGGCTGAAAATGATGCACATAAATTAATTGGTAGCCGATACTGGTGACAAGGTTTGAGAGACTCTTTTAATTACTACGAAGACTGGTGCTTTTGCGTAGTTTGTCCACCATACTACAGGCTGGGAAAATATTCGAGTCCATTTTAGACAAAGGAAATCTTGAGACTTGTGTCTCCAGAGGTGCTAATTTCCCGCTGTGCTCTATTGCATTGCCAGAAGTGTCCCAGTGAAGCATTTGGTTGTTTCTGAGGACTTACTCACAAAGTGGAAGGAAAGATCTGAGTCGTCTAAAAACCTTGCGTACCCTGTCCATATCCTAGGGTCGTACATTCACGAGCACGCTTTTTAACTACTCGAAAATTATATTCAAAACCTACATTAAAGAGAGATGAAGTTTAAAATTCTTTGTATAAGTATGGTTTTCAACGAGCACAATGACGTGTCTACCAGGGTAGACATGGCAGTTTTGTATGCATGGTCCGTTGCTTAAGCATGTACGCAAAAAATGTTTATAAATGTTATCTCTTATTTTTTCTGCATGTACTCGTTTTGAGTTTGTACGTTTTAAGTTAAATTAGCACATGTGATGTATTAGAGTAAGGTAACGCATTAACCATTATCTGCTATTTTTTGTTCCAAGATTTATATAGAACACATGGCGTCGTTCTAGTATTTTTATTTTATCATTTTTGTGCATTGTCTGTTTCACATTGTGGTGCTCAAAATGCCATCTTTCAAGTACGATATAATTACGACTCTGAATTCCTTTACTATTGTAAGCAAATTGTAAAACACAAACATATACGTCGTAAAAAATGTGATTGTTTGGGGCGAAATAGCTTTGGATGATGTTGCATCTTAATAAATGCATTTTACCACTGAATTATTATCTTCTGTAAGCATCTGAAGACGAAGTTGAGCATCACAATGTCTATAAAATAGAGGAAGATGTTCCTTGTCCACGATTCCCTCCCCCATCCACCCGTAGAGGACTATTCACGATCACGAATAATGATTGTGGACGGTGACAGGCAACCGTTAGCCGGCAGCTGACGTTCGACGATCAGTAATCGGTGATCGACGGCTGTCGGCTGGATGCCGGCGGCTGGTAGTCCGTGGGCTGTGGGCTGATGGCCGTCATAGAACAATCACCACAGACTGCCGGCCGCCAATCGACGACCTGGTTCAGCTGCACGCATTGCGGAATCGCCTCATCACAACTCTGTCTTAACGTACTTTGCCTTTCTGTTGCAGCTGTTCGGCTCGAAGGCAGATCTGCAGCTGCACACCCAGATCCACATGCGCGAGGCCAAGCCCTATAAGTGCTCGCAGTGCAGCAAGGCTTTCGCCAACAGCTCCTATTTGTCGCAGCACACTCGCATCCATCTGGGCATCAAGCCGTACCGCTGCGAGATCTGTCAACGCAAGTTCACTCAGCTCTCGCACTTGCAACAGCACATTCGCACGCACACCGGCGACAAACCCTACAAGTGCCGGCATCCAGGCTGCAACAAAGCGTTCTCGCAGCTCAGCAACCTGCAGTCGCACTCCCGCTGCCACCAGACCGACAAACCTTACAAATGCAATTCCTGCTACAAGTGCTTCTCCGACGAGCCTTCCCTTTTGGAACACATTCCCAAGCACAAGGAGTCCAAACATCTGAAGACGCACATCTGTCAATACTGCGGCAAGTCGTACACCCAGGAGACGTACCTCACGAAGCACATGCAGAAGCACGCGGAACGAACAGACAAGCGGCCGCCGATCACGGGCATCGGCCTCAACAACCGCAACGTGGCGTTGGGGGCGGGTGGCGGCGGTCCCAACAACCCGGGCGGCAACCCGGCCGCCGACCCGCACGCGTACTGGCCCAAGGTGTCCCCGGACACCGCCACGTCGCTCGTGGAGGCCATGAACCAGCACGAGGTGTGCCTGCAGCAGGGCGGCCAAGCCCTGGGCGAGCACCACTTGGCGGCGTCGCACCACCGCTCTTTACTGGAGCACCACAACCGCCAGATGAACGGCGGCGGCGACGGCAGCGGCGAGGAATGGCCGGATGTTTCTGTCTTTCTCCTTGGATTTTCAAATAGGGAAGTTATCACTTTCTTACTGCCAAATTATTTGCATTAAAATATATTAAGTATCCTACCATACACCTAGAATTGACGTTGTAAAAACGGCAGTAGGATTGGGTTCATTGTATCCTAGACTAAACTCTCAATATAACCCTAATCTTACACTTCCTAAACTTGAGGAGCTGCTGCTGTTTTTTCAACACGTGCAGTGTGTGGGTGTAAGCAGTACTTGCTTCTTGATCTCGTCGGCGACTTGTTGACTGATGGTGTAGTTGTCATCACCGTGATGTTTTTTCTTATAAAATTTTTTTATTATTTTATGCTGAGTAATAAAATTTAATTTTTTTTCGATTAGAGTTATTCTGTGTATTAATTAAAATAGCTTCAGGACTTTGTTACTTACAGATAATCAGCAAATAGTTATAAAACTTTCGAGCTGAAAGCACTATGAAGCTCCCTCTTGGGTTCACTTGGCGTTATAAATTAATTTTTTACTTTTTACACTTTGAGATCAAATTTGCAGATGTAGCTGCAAATCAGTTTTTTTTTATCAGCGAAGCTAAGTTTGGCTTCTAGTTTTCCATCTATATTTTCCTAAACGTGAACCTTCCTATACGCGTTCCTTGAAACTTTTTTAATTTAATGCGCATATGTTATATTTTGTATGATACATTGGATAATATATGTTACTCATTTTTCCCTCTTTCATAATGTATTAAATTTCATTTTCGGTGAAATGTACTGGGGGTACATCTACATTGAATTAGGTTTTACAAGACAATAAACAGCATTATAATTACTGATGAGTCACGGGCCTATACTCAATATCATCGAACTGTTTAATTATTTGGATTGTTTTTCTTAAGATGAAGGGTACAGAATATTGTTAATTTTATTGAAATTAATTATTTGGCTATTTAATCCGAGAAGGCCCTATGTTGTGAGAAATGAAATGTTGTTAAGCATGATGTAATTCTTTACAAAGACTTACTGACATAACAATTTGAGAGGCTGCGAGGCAAACATATTGGGCGGATGACGCGTCTCCCACCATACTACTTCTTCGCTCTTCGTATCTACATGATTCTTCATTCCACTTGCATAGGGCCATGCGGCGGCTTTTGTCTTGCGGCTGCGGGCGGCAAGTTCGGGCCCGTTCGGACAGCAGGGAGGTGGCGGGGACGGGGGCGCTGACCGGGCGGGCTCGCACGCTCGCGTTCGCTGTTTGCCACGCGCTACGGGGCGAACGGACCGCGTTTGTTCGTCTGGCGCGCCGCCGCCAGCCGCCCCGCCGGCGGCCCGCGATGTAGCGGCTTATCAGAAAGAGCAAAGTCGGGCGGCTCGTTATCGTTGCCGAGACGGGCCAAGTCAAAAAAAGGAGTTCGCCGCCCGCCGGCCGCGCTGCCGCCGCCGCCCCGCCGCCCCGCGCGCCGCGCCCCGCCGCGCCGCCGCCGCCGGCCGCGCCGCCGCCGCCGCCGCCGTCGGCGTCTACCCGGAATGCAGCGCCCTGCCGCGCGGGGGGAAGAGGCGCGTCGCCCTGTTGACTAGACAGCCACGAGGGCCTCCGCGAGCAGGCCGCCGCGCCGCAACCTCACCGCACCGCGCCGTGGAGAGGCCGACCAAAATCTCTGACCCGAGCCGGCACTGGGCGACAAGAAACGACCCACATTTTGTTGATGTTTGTTTTCACACACTAGCAATATATCGAACTTCTGATAACGTAGGTAAAAAGGAAAGAAGTGAAACGATGCTTGCAGGTCTCGGTTTTGCCCTTTGGCAACTGGTGGATGGTAATGATGAAAGCTATTTGAAATCATTTCCAGCTTAGTTTGGCATTTTTTAACATCCTCTTCTCGATCTATTTGTCTTGTTCTACATTGCGTGCAGAGTCCGCAATTCGGAAGCAGGCAAGTGTGTGAGTAGTTTCTCTCCTGGATGAGAAAATCATTTAATTTGGTTCATATATTGTTGTTTCTTTGACAAAATATATAATCACCTTTTTCTTTGTCATTATTCCCAATTTATTTCTAATAAACCATCCTTTTCGATACCGTTTGCTCGGATTGTATTCCATAATACGATTTTTCACAGTGGACTATCATTGATAACGTATCTTAAAAAGCTCAAGAGTCATTTCAAATCGAAGTAGAATTAGTAAATGCGGAAATCGCGGTATTTCAGGAGCCCTTATAAGTTAAGACTTAGAAGGACTTTGATTTTTTTCGTATTTAATATAATTAATTGTTCTTTCAATTAACTATGTTTATTTTTCACTTACTAAGATGAATAGTGTTGCAATACTGGAATCACGTACAGTAACACTGATAAATATTGTTGGAGGCAGTCTGAGGGAGCCCGCGGCGTAATTAGAGCGGTACTGTGAACATTGTGAGCGAACTGCTCTCTCGATCCGTTGCAGCGGAGAGAGCGGCGCGCCGAACCCCCCATGTTTTGTGCCCATTCAACTCAGCGGCAAAGCGTTTCGCGCGGCACACATTTCAGTGCCAGCAGAGGCACACGCAGCGCCGTGCGGGAAGCCCGCCACGCGCTGAGGAGCGGCGTGTCTTCCATTCGCCTTGTGGGCCCGTTGGCGGTGGGCGCTGTCGCGCGACGCGACCTGGAGCGAGCGACCGACTGCGCGCGCGGCGGGGCGAAGGCGGCGGGAAGCGAAGCGGGGCGACGCGGGGGCGACGCGCCCGCGGGGCGGGCGGCGGGCGAGCGCAGGCGCAGACTCGGCCCTCTGAAAATAGGCCGGCGCAGCGCCGTCGTCATTTCTAGAAGCCGCGATGTTGGTGTTTAACGGCCGCCGCTTGGTCTGCGGACCGGTGGCCGGAGGTGGTGGGCGCGGCGGGGCGGCGCGAAGGCGCGCGAGACGCCCCGCCCCCGCTCAATGCCTCCCATGGGCGAGGCGACCCGTGCGAGAATAACACCCACAATGAGACCCTTTCGTCGGGTGGCATGCGGATGGGCGAAGACAGTGTGAATGCCTTCCGCGCCGAAGCTGCAACCCGGAACATCTTTGAACTTAGGGGTGGCCTGGTTTCTTCCACACCTCAACTCGGGAAACTTTGGGGAGTAAGCTTTGTTTAATTCCATCATTCGTATTAATATGTTTTCGGCAATAATGTGATTTCATACCTGTTTGTTTAATTTTTGTACACTGAAGTTTTTCAAACCAAGCTTAACACGTGATGTGTACAGGAAGTTCAACGATTTTCATTATTACTGGTGGACATGTTGTTTGTTTTCAAAACATTAGAGGTAACTTTGGTGTGAATGAAATCGACATATGAGACTTAATCGATATGTTGTGACTGTATCCAAATGTATGCTTACCAAAGAAGGCCCCATTGACTTGGACGCAGAGTTTGGCAAGTAATTCTTTAGAAATATTATGTATTCAAATATACGAGGAAAAAATTGAGTGTATTTTAACTTCTAACACAATTAATATGTGCAATTTTTGCTCCTGAATTAGGCAATTAACTCAACTGTTAACAATACTCCATTGTTTTAATTTAAATTACATGGAGATTATATAATATATAATTGTTCCATAATAATGTATGGACCCGTATCCAATTACAAAATCTCTTTCGTTTTCCATTTGAATTTTTGCATGATTTCTCAATAATTTATTCTCTATTTTATACTCAATAACGTCTCTAGTGATGCCAGTTCTCTTTCAATGCGTTATGAGTGTGCTTTTTTTAAACGAGCACAACTATTCGTTTACTACCTTTTGCTTGATTCTCTTAACTAGAAACCCAATTAACACTAATAAAATGGTGGAGTAATTCGTGTGACTATAAACCTCTTCTGGTGTCCGGTGTATATTATGTGTTCTTATCCTGCGTGCCAGCGCAGCGTCGAACCTTACGTGCTAGGACTAGCTACTAAGGCCTACGACTCCTCAGCGTTAAACGCAGAAGCCGCCATTCGGTGCACTCATACCAAGTTCAACGGGCGTCGGGACGAAGGCATGTCGGAAGAAGTGATGATTGCTTAATTTCGAGTATATCCAATTGCGTAAAAAGCAATAGCCTACTTCTATAGTATAGTTACTTGGCATTCAAAGTTGAATTCTATTCAGTAAAAGTGTATGACTCATCAAAGATAGTAATGTACTATTTGTTTATGTAATCCCACCGAAGACTTTTTATCTAAGACTATGTATTCCTCAAATAATTGACGCTAGTACACAGCAATATAGTATGTAAAGAATTCGATATGTTGATTTTCTTCTAGAAACAGTGCTTGCAGCTTACTTGAGTCTCTCGGTTTTGACATATGATGTTTTGAAATTGCTTAAAGTTTTGAAGCAATTTCTCATTTAATTACTGAAAACTTACTTTTTTTTTTATTTTACAATTCGTTTAATATAGGCGTTATTTTTATTTTTTTATTTTTTAAGAAGAAAGCTTTAAAACTTGGAACTTGAAAAATTCATTAAGAATATGAACGTATCCAGGAATGATTCATTTGCAACCTTCTAATGGCAGACTCTTAAAAGAGAAAAATATACGTTCTAGTTTTTGCATTACATAATAATTATGATTCCCCACAGATAATGTGGGGTTTATAGAAATGTTCGTCGTCCTAACTAGGGCAAAAGGGGTCCCCAAGGCGCGCCTCCATGCTTGATTTCGTGCGCGGAATAGCCGCGGCGCCCATAAAACACGGGGCGCGCGGCGCGCGGGCGTCGGCGGCGGTCGGCGTGTGCGTCGCAGCCCGCATGGCGTGCAGCGACGTTGCGGCGACGCTCCCGAAGGGAACCGATGTTTAAAAACAGTCTTGGCACTCTTTCAAGCTTTTTGTGGCGCCGAAAAAGACTGGTCGGAAATGAGTCACATGAATAAAAATAAAAACACTTTGTTTGCAAAAAGCGCCGTTTTCGTTAGCTTGTTGCAGCGCCCGACGCTCGCGCGGTTGGGGGACGCAGGGCGCTTTTCAAGGCAAATGAGTTGAAGCGAGGGGCCGGTTGCGGCGGGGGTGCGGGTGATCGGGAAGTAAGAGGCGGTGCGTCCCCAGAGATGTTCCCGGCCCGTCCTCAACCTTAGCTTCAGCGTCTGCCCATTTCCAACTCCCTATTCTGCCATCGCCGCCCCGCCCCCCCCCTTTCTGTCCACGTAAACCTGCCCGACCCCACACCGTTCTTCTGCAGTTATGTCGTCGGTCCACTTCTCGTCAGTCATGCCGCTGTTTGGTTTTTCTGCTCTCTTCCATGCTTAGTTGCAGATTGCTAAATGGAACGGGTCGTGCTTTTATAGAATCAAAGGAATACGGTTTGTTTTTGGAAGATACTTATTGAGTTTGACGTTTGAGTAGCCGGTTTTCTTGTGTGTCACACCAAACTGTACAAGTGCATTTTATTGTAAGGGTCAGAGAAGTTGCATTTGTATGTTGTTAGGTGCTGCGTACAGAGTAATAAGAATCTTTTCAGATCAGCTCTGTGACGTTTTTTATTTATAAATTATTTTGTAATTTTTATTATGTAATCAATCTGTATATTATTTTTCTTTTTTATATGAAGCATTAAATGTTGCAATGCTTGACAAAAGTTTTTGAAATAATGTTGGACAATTTTTTAAGGTAAATTTTGTGTTTTTGAATGATGAATCAGAGCCTGGAACAGACGTTGGGTCTTCCATCTTTACCTACCAATTTCGAGCTTGTTTAGATTTTTGTTATCGTTTCGATATGAAAGTTCGGCCCATTTCGGAAGGCCTTTTCCTTCCCTTGCTGTTAGTGTGGAAGACTAGAAGTAGGGTACCCTCCCCGCCCTCAGCCCCGTTCTTTCACAGTGCCGCCTGCCCCCCCGCTGCGCCTCTCGGCCGTGGCCCGGGTGCTGGCGACCGACCTCGCCTGCCGCGTCGCGCGCCGCCCGCCGCTCCAGTGTACTGTCGCTGCGCTGAAGGTGTCTAAAGCTGTGCTGTGTCTTTGCAAGGTCGTTGTAGGAAGCGGGTGGCGGCAAGGCCGAACGGGCGCTCAGCTGGACAGCATTAGACCCACGGCAACCCAAGGTTAGCACGCACAGCCTGTCTGTGGTCTTTATGTTGCTCGCTTAGTTCCCCTAGATTGGTTGGCTTTTTGTGTTATTTCGTCAACTTCTAGCCTTAGTTGCGAATTTGGTTTAGAACCTGCATTTTTGTAATCCCTCAAACCTGGCAATGAAGCGGGGTCGTTTAGTTTTATTCTTGATATACGATATACATTCTAAAATAGCCACGAGCGAGAGCGTGTTATGAAAGCAGTGTAATCGACGGGCCTGTTCTTTGTGTGCTTGGAGATGGAGGGTGGCTGAAAATGATGCACATAAATTAATTGGTAGCCGATACGGTGAAAGGTTTGAGATGACTCTTTTAAATTACTACGAAGACTGGTGCTTTTGCGTAGTTTTGTCACCATACTACAGGCTGGGAAATATATTCCCCCCCCCCGAGTCCATTTAGACAAAGGGAAATTCTTGAGACTGCTTGTGTCTCCAGAGGTGCTAATTTCCCGCTGTGCCTCTATTGCTAATTGCCAGAATGTCCAGGAAGCCATTTTGGTTGTTCTTGAGAGCTTACTTCACAAAGGGAAGGAAAAGATCCTAGTCGTCTAAAAAACCTTCGTACCCCTGTTCATACTAGGTGTCGTACAGTCCACGAGCACGCTTTTTAACTACTCGAATTATATTCAAAACCTTACATTTAAAGAGAAGATGCAAGTTTAAAATTCTTTGTATAAAGTATCGTTTTTCAACGAGCACAATGAACGTGGTTTACAGGGTAACTATGCAAGTTTTGTATGCATGGTTCCGTTGCTAAAGCATGTACGCAAAAATGT